GATAATTTTGTGAGGCTGCCCGTAGTGGCTCAGGTAATGAAACTGGAGGTGTAGGTGCTAGTTGAGCTGATGCAGGTGTTGGCTGAACTAATGGAGGTACTGGCTGAACTGATGGAGGCACCAAAGAAATAGGAAGAGGAACAGATTGTGAGTTCTCCTCCCCAAAACTCTCCCCTGAGGAGAACCACTCAAGAAGAAGGTGGATTCAAAGAAGGTAACATCTATAGTGACAAATCTGCTCCTCGACACTAGGTCATAACAGCAATACCCCTTTTGGTTCTAAGCATACCCAAGAAAAACACATTTCTTGGCCTTAGGATCCAATTTCTTGCGATGAGGGCCAAGAATGTGAACAAAGGAAACACAACCAAAAACCCTCAAAGGTATATGAAATATCTCCCCATCTGGAAAAAGAAGACTAAATGGCACCTTAAACCCCAAGTCTGTGAAGGAACACGGTTAATCAAATGCACAACTGTAAGAACTGCATCTCCCCAAAACTGCACAAGAACTGAAGCACACACCATAAGACTCCTTGCCACCTCCACAATGTGCTTATTTTTCCACTCAGAAACTCCATTCTGTTGCGGTGTATATGCACAACTGCTCTGATGAACTACACCATGTTCTAAGAGATATGTGGTCAGGTCCTTCTCAAAGTACACTGGCATTATCTGATCTAAAAGCCTTAGTTCTCACTCCAAATTATGTAAGAACAATCTGGTGGAATTGTCGTACCAAGTTAGGAACTTCATCACGTAATCTCATCAAATATATCCAAGAATATTGTGTATAATCATCCACAAACAAGAGAAAGTAACGGAATCCTCTCCCATGGAAGGGATATGATATGGCCCCCATACATCAGTGTGAACAATATTAAAAGTAGTACTTCTTTTATTACTTGGTTTGAAAGACTGTTTACAATGCTTTCTTAATCGACAATTCTCACACTCCAAAGTAGATAACTGAACAGATTCAAACAACTTTGAGAAAATACATTTCAAAGAACTAAGAGAAAGATGTACTAAGTGATTGTGCGAAAGCATAATCTGGTTCACCGACTCTGACCTACTACTACTGCTGCTACTAACATGATGACCCTGATGTCTCGGAATCTCATCTAGAAGGTAGACTCCATTCACCTCACGACCACTCCCAATCATCTTCTTTGACTCCAGATCTTGCAAAACACAATTACCAAGAAAAAGGTCACGGAACAATTCAAATTTTTTGTCAAAGAACTAACAGACAATAGGTTGGTATGAACTCTAGGGACATGTAAAACAAAAGACAGAGTTACATCATTGGTCACTCTAACCGTCCCCTTCCCAACAATGGGCATATGTGAAAACCATCTGTTGTAGAGAACTGATAGAAACTAAAAATGGTAGGGGCATTAGTCATGTGCTTAAATGCTCCTGAGTCTATAATCTAGGGAGGTCCCTCCTTACCTGAAGTGGATGCAAGATTTTCACTTGCATATGAACTACCTGCATGTGCAAAGGAAGTGTTGTAGTTGGCTCCTGGATTCTGCTGTCCATCAGGAAGGCTAGAGATAGGTGAATCTTTTTACTCATAAGCTGTCCAAACCTCTCCAATTTTGTTCTCACTGCTGCTACTGCAATGGATTCTCAATCAGTTTGGGAAAGAGGGGCCGAAGAGTCTCCTGTAGTGGCTACATTTGCATTTCCCTTCTTGTACCTTATTCGAGCAGGCATAAGACTTGGATGAAGCTTCCAACAAGTGTCCCCCCGGTACGCTTAGGCTTCTTGCAATAATCACACACCAAGTCCTTATTATCTTCCCTTCTAATCTCACTACTCCCCAGCCTCCATTCGGCTTAAGTTTTGTTGTACCAACCATAGCCGATTGATCAATCCCAGGATGTCTCAACATTACATTCCTCCCACTCTCCACTCCAGAGACAAAGGCATAAGCCCAAGAGAGTGTCACACCCTCCCTAGAAAGAATGTGCTGCCTAGCAATGTCAAATTCAGGGTTCAACCCTGCCAAGAACTCAAAAACCCTATTCCTCTCCACCAGTCTATGATAAGTTGCTGCATCATTTACACTTCCCCATACCATAGTTTCTAAGTGATCTATTTCCTACCATAGGGTTTTCAGCATAGAGAAATACATAGCAAGAGGTTTTTCTCCCTGTTTCATACTTATCACCTGATTTCTTAACTGATAGGCTCTGGCCACATTTTGCTTCTAAGAGAAGGTTTCGGTCACTCCATCCCAAATCTCCTTAGCAGTATTAGCTCAAAGGAATTTTTTTGCAAGTAACATAGAATTACCCAGCCAGGACATTACCATGTAATTCTCCTGCACCCATCGGGATGAGTCTGTATCAAGTTTCTTCTCCTTCCAATGAGATACCCTAATTTTCCACGGGCACCAATAACCAAATAATTTGTACCATCAAGTTTTACTATAGTAATGATCCCAGACCCAAAAATTTCACTACTACATCTAACACCTAGTCCCAAAGTACTGGTAGATTTCATCTCGGTATTCCAACTCTCCATCTTACTTGAAACAGTTCAACAATAAGAAAAAATAGATTGGAGACCTCCAAAAAATAATTTAATATCACACACACAAAAACCAACCCTTCCGGAAGAAGAAAACCCTAGCTGGAGAGAAATCTCTCTCCTCCCCACGCCTCCCAACAGAGAGAAGAGTGAACCGACCACTCCAGGAGGCTCAAAAAATTCCAGAAACCAAACCGCCCTCTTCAGAAAATCAAAAGAAAACTAACAATACTTGGGTGCCCAAGATCAAATCAAAAACAAAGAGTCCAACTTTTCAGGGACTCATCCCCGTACTCCAATTCTTCCTGATTTTGATGCCGAACAGTAGATCACCTTCCTGATGACTAGATCCCACCAAAAAATCCAAGAACTGGGCAATCTATAGCAGATTGATCAGCCATTTACTACTTCATGCAGTCGGCTGATCTAGGGCTGCATGAGAATGCTTCTTGAAACCCTAGCCGATGCTCTGATACCAAGTAGAAATCTGTTGAATTAAAAAATATGAAAGAAAAGTAATTTCTTGAAGAGAGAAGGAAGAGAGAAGTAGAAGAAGAGAAGGAGAGAAGTTGAAAACAAAAGAGAGCAATAATCTGGCCGCCCCCTTCACTTATTACTTATACTAAAAATAATAGAATAGTACAAAGACAACTATGCCCTTATAGGGCGGCAAGACATAAAACAGCATATATAACACTCAAAAACATAATAAAATTTGGACTCACATAACTACTGTGGTCCCCACCTCCTATCTAACAATTAACATAAAACATCTACTCAGAAAAACATCATAAAACTGATTAATCTTCAACAAAAAATACATGTAGAAAATACAGGCCTAAATAAGTAAAAGTTAATCTATTCCTTAATCAAAATGTATAAGAAAATGCCATCAAATGCACAAGATAAGCATACAAATAATTTTGAAAGAATTACTTTATTTTTTTATCAGAAAAAGTAGATTTATTTATTAAATGAAATAAGAAAGTAGGGGTGATTAATACAATTTGATTGATAGTACTGTCAATCCCTTCATAACCCAAGTTACAAGGATAACCAAAACAATTGATGCCTCATAACCCCTAGTTTTGCCATGGAATCTCCCAATCCATTTGAACTCAACCTCTAATTCTCTTACTATCTTTTCCACTTCTCTTAGAACGTGCTGAAAGGTCCAAGGGATACGCCTGTTCTATTCTGCACACAAGATGACCACTTATGAGTCTCCTTCCACTTAAATCACTCTAAATCCCAGCTGTTTAGCTAGTCTGAGACCTTGCAACAGAGCCAACAGTTCAGCCTTCAATGAGTTTCCCAAATCAATTGGCCCTGAAAACATTGCCACAATCCTCCTCTCTGAGTTTCTTATGACCCCCCCCCCCCAAATTCCAACCATACCCAGGTTTCCAAAGGAACTCCCATCAAAATTTAATTTTACTTTATTACCTGTTGGGGGGTCATAAGAAGTCAGTCACTGAGAAGGTTTTGAAGATGTCTAAGGTCTTCACCAAAAAGGCTACCTTTACTTTTATGCTGCCCATCACTTCCTTCAATGTTCTGCTCTTCTCCAAGAAGATTCTACAATTCCTCCATTCCCACACCACCCAGAAAATTGCTGCCTTAGTGGCCCTCCATAGCACTGCCAGATTTTAATCACAAAGAGACAGGAGATTAGTAAATGGGATAGGGTCTCACCACTACCCCTACATAAGGACATGTGAGGAGAAAGGCACACAGAAGACCTACTTTTCTGCAACATATCACAAGTATTCATAGAATTACTTTATTCAAATATAATTTTTAGTAAGCATATCCTCGAATTCTTATTTTTCAGCCTTCCTGAGTCAAACACCTGGGTGAGCATCACATTCTGATTCTCATGTTTAAGTCATCCAAAACTGCATGCCATTCTCACAAAATCAACTCAAGTAAAATATGTCAATATTTCTCAATAGATACAAAACAACAGTTGGTACTAATCATAGTCTAATATGAGCAAATTTATAGCAAAGATTATTAGCATTTCTTTCCTCCCACAATTCCCAAAACCTAAAATATATTGCAATGTACACATTCACATTATCTTCCCCAACTTGTTATTAGGGAAGGGAGAAACCAATTCATTAACATCTCCAACAAGCATCCACTATACGGCGATCAAAAATCAAATAAGCAAAGAAATGACCTACTTAGAAGCAAATTAAAATCGATAGAAAGGTCATTAGACAATCCCCATCTTCCAGCTAAAGAACAAACATAAGGAGTGACCCCTCAATTCTTCATCCAACCAATTCAAATTCCAAAATGCGCTACCAACATGCATGTGAGAACAATTTATATGTATGATATTCAATTTATAAGCATTACAAATTGATTAAAGCGAGTAGCAATGAAAGTGTTTTTTTAACATAGTTGAGACAAGAGGAAAAAAAGAGCACTTAAGATTTTTCTGCCAAATACCAAGAAAATGAGCGAGACCCTCAAGGCCCTCAGGATCGCTAAATGAACCCACACAAACATTCATTGAAGCTGCAACCTGAAACAATTGGCATAAATTAGGAGATGATTCCAAGTCCAACAAAGCTTTGTAAAGTCCTAAAATTAATGAAAAACACAAAAAGTGGAAAGAAAAACAAAGGACACAAGTAATAGAACTTTCAAGTCCTATGGTAGATCTAAAGAACACATCAGTAATAAATCAAGCAAGCTGATAAAAGATTGCATGACAAGCAGGCCTCTTGCAACCTCAGACCACAACAAGCATCTATCTTCTTCGTTGTTGGGCTGTCAAAAGTCTACTGGCAGCCTCTCTTTGACACTACAGTGGATCCCAATTACTCAAGGCATCGTGGGGGTGAAAGAGAAAAGGAGGCTAATGAGGGTTGGTTGCAGTGTTCTGACAGTGAGGAAGGAGAAGGGAGATCCAGCATAGGAAGTGTTGAAGATATGTTGCAATATTTGGGCCAAGGATTCTCTGCACAAAGTACTACTTTTTGGAAATGGCGATTCCTCAGATAACCTAGTTCAAGGCAATACAAAAAACGATGATAGAGAGAAGCTCTTGGGTTAGCAGGAGGGTCATTCTTTGGATCAGTAAAAGGGAGGAAATATAGTTCTGGTGACCCAGACCCCAACTTTCCTCTTGTTGGTTGTGCTTTACAGCAGGGTCTCCTTCTACTGTGCCTTTATCTATTTCCCCGAACTTGCCTCTTGTTGGTTGTGCAGAGACCACGCCCTCAACAGAAAGACTCCAGAAGCTACCTCAAGACTTATCTGATCACTTGGGGACAAATTCCAGGCTATTCGAACAAGAAGTAGGGGAGTTTATTTGGGGTATAGTGATGAAAAGATTTGAAGAGTTGATTACAGGAGAGATCAAGATGGGGACAAGATAGAAAGAGTGAAGGGATGAAATTTACACCAGCAAGGAGATGGAGAAGAGTTTTGAAGATTGAGGCAAAAACGTTTGTCTTGGAAGAAGTTTGGACAAGAAGAGGAATTTCCCTGAAGGTAGTGGAGCTGAGAAAAGCTACGCTGATTCGTGAAGAGAAAGCAATCTCCTGGTTTCAGGGATTCCTGGAGGGAGCGAAGAGAACTTTGAGAACAATAGAATGGAAGTGTAGTCTTGTGGAAGAGGGAAGAAGGTATTCTACTGAAAGAACAGAAAATAAAAAAGGAAGATTTGTGGGTATATACGAATATTATGGAGAGGGTCTGAAACAGTTCACTTGCTTCCCTGAAGGGAGAGGAGCATCAGGTTGGGATAAACTAATACAAGCAATGCAGGATTTTCTGGTGTTAGTATATGAAAGACGAAGTTCTCCAATCAGAAAGGAAGAGGGTCAGAAGAATCTTGAAGAGAAGATGGAACTAACAGACTGGAAAGAAACAAAAAATAAGGGAACCAATATGGATAAGGATGTTCAGATTGATGCAAGATTAGTGTCAATGAGAATGTGGATCAATAAAGCCAAAACAGAGTGGGAGAACAAATTAGTATTATCCATGAGTAAGAATGTTACAGATTGGAAAACCCTGGGTGAAGAGATTCAACAAACCTTGAAGGTATCAGAAATGCTGCAAATTATTCCTATTGATGGGCAGAAGGCTCTGATTTCTTGTAGAAATCCCTGGCCGGGCTTTGAAGCTATGTCAGCAGTAATAAAGCAAGGAACTGCAGTGGTAGGAAGATGGTCCCCAAGTTGCAATGAGAAAACTGTAAACCCAACAGATAGCATTAAGATGAGAATTCTGGGGCTGCCTTATCATCTATGGTCGGATGAGATTTTTAACAGAATTGCAAAGTTATCTGGTGGGGAACTCTCGACTGTGGATGCCTCAGATCTCCAAGCTGTGCTTATAGAGGTGAGTGGAGCGAAGCCAGAACTCATCCTACGTTCTGTAGATGGTTTCTTAGATGGTCAAATGTTCAAAGCTTGGATAGCTTCCTCTGTGGAAGCTCAATGGTGGAATGAAGGAAGGACTGGAGAAGATGAAGCTGACATGGCCAAAACCTGGTCTCGAGGAAACCTTGGAAAGAGAGAAGAACAGAGAAAATTAAGAAGTTTCATGAATAAGGAAACTGAAAAGACTGAGAATTGGAAAGGTGTAAATCAAGCTATCTCTTAGTGTGGTAATTCGAAGCAGCTGGTCAGAGTTTCAATGGGTATGTGTAAAACCTTCAATCAGGCTTTAATGAATTCAAAAGGTGGAGGCGTGGCAGGTTCAAATTCAAACAAATGGCCGGGGGTGGGGACAAATGGGAAAGAAGTAATTCCTGGTGGGCCTTTGAATGGCTTGGCCCAATCACGAGATAAATCAAATACACATGTGATTCTAGTAGAGAATGGGGGGCTGTTGGGCTGATTAGGCCAGGCCCATTAAATCCGACTCAAATGGAAGAAAACGGGGCTTTTGGACCAAATAGGCCTGGCCCATTAAAAAAGAAGTCATGTGATCACTCAAGTGATCATGTGACTACAACAAAAGGTGAAAGTTGGGGGACCATTGTTTGGGTGTATCATTGTCCCAACCTGAAGTTGCAGCGGTCTTTTCTTCCTCCAAACACAATTCTCCAGCAGCAGGCTCAACAAGAAGTTCCAGTTTAGGGCTTGCTTGGGTGCCAAGACTGGTTTCCTGCTCTACCAGTCCAGAGAAGCTAAATCCAATGTACAATAGAACAAAGAACAGGGATGAAACATTAGATTCAAGGTGGATAAGTTTAGAGGGCAGTATGAAAGGAGAGAACTTTGAAGGTTTCAGCCTTGGAAGTGTTCAAAGTAACTGCCACTCTTGACTTGGGGAAGAAGCGGAAGATGGCTTAATACTGTTTGATGACGATCTCTTTACTACACTTCCTAGACTCAGTCCAGCCTGAAAAAGGGGAAGGAAGATAGGCTCCACTTTGGGGGAAGTAAAATCTAAGACAAAGAATAGCAGAGATCTGTGTTCAGAACAAGACCAAATACAGGGTATTAGTAGGGGCTGTAAAGTCAACCCAGAACCTCTCAGTAGAACTACAAACTGCCCTGTTCTCATGGCTAACTATCTAGAGGGTGGTTCTGAAGGTAACACCTCTGACTTTAGCACAACAATTGGGGTTAAGGGGTCGCCAAATCATCCGCTAAATCCTACCTGTTTACAAAAGTCTCTTTTGAACTCGAATTTTGTTGCTACTAATGTTTCTTTTAGTCCTGTGTATGTTGTGCCTACAGGGGAGACTAATCCAACCTTGCAGTCTACCAGTCAGAATGATCAAATGCAAGAAACAGAGGTGATTGGAGATTTGTTTTCAAAAATTGTACACATGGAGATCGGGGATAGACTTTGGGAGCTGATGATTATGGAACTATTTAGAATTCAGGTGGAGGAAGAGATGGTTGAACAGATTGAAAGGGATGAGGAGGGTCAAACTCCTAATCCTATTGTTGAAAATGAAGTAAAGGGTGATGGTAGATTAAATGCAGAAGATGGCTCAAAAAAAAAAGGGGGGGGCAAAGAAAAAGGGTTCCAATAGAAAGAAAGAGGGGAAAGAGAAGCTAGAGGAGCCTAGATCTAAAGGAGCTGGTGTATAAAAGCAGAGAAAGAAAAAATTAAGTGAGGTGGAAAGGCTAAAATGTGAGGTGGATTGTGATAAAGGGAGTGTTGGAAAAAAGGAGAAGAAGAAGCGGTGAGTGGTTTGTTTGTTTAAGGGGTATTTTGTCGCAGTCTCCATGAAATTTAAAAGTTGGGATGTAAGAAGGTCAGGAAGCTTAAGAAAAATAGGAGTGATTAGGGATCTGTTGAGAAGAGAAAAACCAGATATTGTGTTGATTCAAGAATCTAAATTGTCTGAGTTAGATAGGAATTGGGTAAGAAGTATATGGTCAGTGAGAGCCATAACTTGGGCATACACACAATCTTGGGGAGCTTCAGGGGGAATTATAACTTTATGGAAAAATGCAAAGATGGAGTGTATTGAGGAGTTAATTGGGAAGTATTCAGTGTCCATTAAGTTGAAGAGGAGGATGGATGACTGGTAATGGGTTTTAACTAATGTGTATGGACCCACCTCTTATAAGGAAAGGAAGGGACTTTGGGAGGAGTTAGCAGCAGTGAGAGGTCTATGGGAGGGCCCCTAGAGTTTGGGAGGAGATTTTTAATGTCATAAGATTTTTGAGTGAATCAAACAACCCAAATCATCGGGTTACAACGAGTATGAGGAAGTTTACCCTCTTCGTAGAGACCTTTGAATTGCAGGACCTACCTATTCAAAGGGCAAGTTATACGTCAAACTTTCAAGAGGCCCCCACTTGTTGTAAGTTAGACAGATTCCTATTCACAACTGATTGGGAAGTGGCTTGGCGGGGATTAGTAGTTACAGCACTGCCAAGACCTATTTCAGACCACTGCCCAATAAGTTTGACACAAGAGAGGATGGGGGGTGGCCCCTGCCCTTTTAGATTTGAGAATATGTGGCTTATGCACCCTGAATTCTTGCCAAAGGTTAAGGAGTGGTGGGAGAAAGATCAAGTGGATTTCAGATGGAAGGGTTATAGATTCTATAAGAAATTGCAACTGCTGAAAGCAAGAATTAAGATGTGGAATAAAGAGAGTTTTGGAAAGATTGAAGAAAGAAAACAGGAAATTCTCAGTAGAATAGAGGAGCTAGATGGTGAGGAAGCTGAGAGAAGTTCGAGTTCAGAAGAGAGGAAAGAGAGATGGGGGTTGAAAAGGGATCTGGAAGACATTCTAAGAAAAGAGGAGGTTACTTGGAGACAAAAATCTAGAAGTCAATGGCTCAGCGAAAGGGATGGTGTTGAACAAGAACTAGAGAAGAGAGGAGAGGAGAGGAGAGGAGAATAGAGAGGGAGAGAAGAGAGGAGACTCGAGTGGACTGAGAGCCCTCCTTAACTTAGTGGGCGAGAGTTGGTATTATTATTTATACTGGCCCAGTCGTACAACATAAAGACAAGAGAAAATTACAACAATACCCTTGCGGTACTAAACCTGAGAACATAAACAACTGTTAACACTCCCCCTCAAGTTGGAGCATAG